GAGGAGGAATGAGGAGGAGGAGGAGGAGGAGGAGGAGGAGGAGGAGGAGGAGGAGGAGGAGGAGGAGGAGGAGGAGGAGGAGAAGATGATGGAGCTGCGGGGTGGAGGAGGACAGACGGAGGCAAGAGAAGGATGGAGGAGGAGGAGGAGGAGGAGGAGGAGGAGGAGGAGGAGGAGGAGGAGGAACCTCATCCTCACCCTCGCCAACAAGCGCACGCACCTTCTTCTATATACAGAAACTCCCGATCAACCGCAGAGCGGCCGGCTAGTAATCTACGCGGTGCATTCTAGCTGGTGTAACAAATGTGGTGCAATCTAACTGGTTCGATCCGTGTGATACAATGCATGTGGCGCAAAGCAAGGCACAGCAATGCGAACCAATGCGTAGCGATGCAAATCAACGCAAAGCAACGCAACGCGATGCGAAGCCATGCTACGCAATGCCGCGCCAGGCAACACCATGCGGGCAGCGATGCGATCGCAATGCGATGCGGTGCGACGCGACTGCAACGCAACCGGGGGGAGGGGGGGGGGACTGCAACGGGGCGGCGGCGAGGCCTCTGCTACGGCCGCTGGGTCAGCCGAGGGGGGGAGAGACGCGCCCGTGCGGCCGGCGCGGCTGCGGGCAGCCTGGGGCAGCAGGCAGGGGGAGGAGGGGGAAGAGAAGGAGGAGGAGGAGGAGGAGGAGGAGGAGGAGGAGGAGGAGGAGGAGGAGGAGATGAGGAAAAGAAGGGGGAGGAGGAGGAGGAGGAGGAGGAGGAGGAGGAGGAGGAGGAGGAGGAGGAGGAGGAGGAGGGGATGGGCCCACGGCGTCCTGTCGTCGGGGGCGCGCACCTGGCAGGCCCTCACGTCCACGCGGGGCGCGAGCTGCGCCACGGCGCGCTCCACCGCCGCCACGGCGGCGCCCTCCTGGGGGGTGCCGCGCGGGCGGGGTGGGTGGAAGGCCCGCGGGTCCGCCCCGGCCACCGCCATGCCGACGAACTGGTTGGTGGGACACCCTAGCTCTGGAGTAGGCCCACTAAAAGAGGTAGCTGCTCCACACATGGAAGCATGTGCGGTGCCGCGCGTTAGTTTCCCGCATCAAGCGGCAGCGTTGGAAAATGACCCGTAGCAGCCCCGGCGGCACACCCGTGAACACCCGCAGCCCCGCCCTGCCTCCTCGCGCGTGGCCGAGGTCGGCGCCGCCAAGATCGGCTGCGCGCGAAGAGTGGCCCCAGGCAAGAGTGACCTCTGGTGCGCGGCTTGAGCGGGGGACGCGGGGTGGCCAAACCCGGGCGCGCCAGCCGCTGCGACTGCCTCGCGCCCAGGGATCTTCCAGAATGGTTCGGTGATATCAAAACGACAGAAACGCCCGACAGAAAATGACGAAAACAAGAGGTCAAGCAAAAAACAATGGCAACTGGCTTGTTTCTCTCTCCGTCTCATTGCGTTCTGCGAAACACTAGGGCTGGAAGGGGGGCCCAAGAGGAGAACCCAGAGAGGGACCCAAGAGGGAGCCCCAGAAGGGGATCCAGGAGGAGACCCAGGAGAGGGGACCCAGGAGGGGACCCAGGAGGGGTCTGCGAGTTCTTACCCAGCAAACGCATTACTTTGCTTGCAGAGAAAGGTAACTATTCGACATCTTCAGCCCCACATATAGGACGAACACACACACAATACTAAAACAAGAGGTCAAGCCAAAACAAAAATTGGTCTGGACATGGTTGCGCTTGTCGTCGTTGCTCCCTGCAGCGTTTTTACCCAGCAAACGCATTACTTTGCTTGCCGAGAATAGTAACTATTCGACATCTTGAGCCCCACAGATAGGACGAACACGCACGCAATACTAGCCGGCCGCTCTGCGGTTGATCGGGAGTTTCTGTATATAGAAGAAGGTGCGTGCGCTTGTTGGCGAGGGTGAGGATGAGGTTCCTCCTCCTCCTCCTCCTCCTCCTCCTCCTCCTCCATCCTTCTCTTGCCTCCGTCTGTCCTCCTCCACCCCGCAGCTCCATCATCTTCTCCTCCTCCTCCTCCTCCTCCTCCCCCTCCTCCTCCTCATCATCATCATCATCATCATCATCATCATCATTCCTCCTCTGGGCACCTCCCCCGGGGCGCGGATCCACCGGATCTGTCCGGATCTGTCCGGAAACGGTGCCGGAGGCCGCTCTGGGCTCCTCTGGGCACCTCCCCCGGGGCCGGTTTTGTGAGGATGTCTCAAGCGAGGGCGCCAGTTTGGGATTCGTCACCGGATCCAGCGGATCCACCGGATCTGTCCGGAAA